TTAATAAGGAATGTTGAATTTTTTGGCAACATTTTTTTAATATAACGTTTTGTCAACCCCTAAAAATATTTCACCGCCTTTGAGCCACATAAATTGTGGGGATATTGTTCGGTTACACCCGAACTTAGATTTTCCTTACTTTTTGTTTCTTTTATGACAATTCAGTGACAAAGCTGACAAAATCAGAGATCGTGTATCGTCTACTGTCGGTTTGGCAACATATTACTCAATAAATAGGCGAACAATTAAAAAAACAAAACTGATTAAATATACATAACTATATTTGTTTATATTAATAAGTGATTCAGATATAAAAAAAACCCGAGGTTAACGTTTTTTCTTGTTATATTTTAAAATGCTACATTTAGTTTTAGAATCATACCGCTTTTTTTAAGAAAAAACAATAGCATTTTTATTGTGCAAATTTATCGTTGCCTATTAAAAAAAAATATAATCCTTAAAAGTACATAATATTTTTAATAATATCGAGGCACATTTTTTACGCCAGTATTTTAATCTGCATATCATTATATATGATTTATAAGATTTTTCTTTAATCATTCGTACTAGCTTCTAACAACAGAACAGAACCTAGTTTATATTTAAATGCAATGAAAGAAAAAATGCTAGCTAAGGCCGCACCAAAGTTATAATACATTTTACAAGTGAATTTTCTATAGCATAAAAAAGTATAAAAATATCTTTTTGATTTTGATTGGTCAGGTTAAAAGGCAGCTTAAGGACAATTAAGCATCCATACAAGAACTTGAGTTGGATCGGTTAGTTTGCATGTCAATTGGTGACCGATCTAAACAATTTCTTCGGAGATCGTAGCGATGGGAAATTTCAGATCGATAACTCAAAAACTAGTTGGCGTATATACATACAAACGGATATGTCTAAATTGACTTGTCTTCATAGGGTCTCCGAAGCTTCCATCTGGATGTTACAAACTTTGTGGCAAACTTAATATAACCAGTTCAGGGTATAAATATCAGCAGTTGAAAGTTTCTACTGTAATTGTGGGGCTTTAGATCGCGGCGCTCATCACCCATCAAATTACGCATGTTATGCGGGTCACGGCCCTCTTGTCGATCAGCAGGGGAGAGGATAATCGATTAGTTTATTATTATTTGTATACTAATGAGAGAGTAGGGTTAATTAGTGTAAAACAACGCAAACTTTTTATGATTTTTATAATAAAACAGTTAAAATCTATTTTTTAAAACCAATGGTACATTATAGTATGACATTTGAAAAGTATTCTGTTAAATTTTTAGCAGAGAGAGTATCTCGGAAAAAAGTTGAATTGCGGTACCCCTCATAATACGGTACTGGATCATCTGAAAACAAAAAACTCGAAATTTTATTATTAGGTATCGTTTGCCGCTTTTTGAAAACAGTTTGAAGAAAACAACGCGATTTTTTCGAAAAATTGGTTAATATGTTATTGTAAAATGAAAACGATTAACAAATTTGTAAATCCAGCGTTACAAGGATGATATATAGAAATAGTGTTAAAAATTTTAAAACGATCGGTGCAGTAGTTTTAAAGTTATGAGGGGCACCGTGAGTTGTGGGGAAAGCGTTATAAAATTTTGAACACTGAAGTAAAACGTTTATAAGACAGGTATACTCGTAACTTCGTGAATTTTGCTAGGACTGATATGAAAACCCTTCTAAATGTATTTCATAATGGATAAATACAGATGAATGATTTTCGAAACAGATAAATGAAAGAAATCATTCTGAAGATTTTTGCATATACTGTAATACCAAATTCCTCTTCATTATTTTATGTCTATGTTAACCGCTTCATTTGCATATGATCACCATTAATAGTGCCCAAATCAGACATGTATTTATTCAGTATATCGTAAAATATTTAGTTACTTGTGAGATAAAATAAACAATAAAGGATATAAGAAAAATATATAATATATGTTTGGAGATAACACATTTGACACCTGTTTTGACGTCAAGACTTTACTCCCATAATTAAATTTTTTAACTATATCATGGATCACCGCGGCTAGGAAATGTCTTTTACAATCCACGACCTTCCAAGTTATCGTCATGTAATCATCGTCAACCCATTCCACAAAGACGTTCGAGAAAGAGTAAAATAATAAATATAATAGTTATAAGCAAAATTATTTAGATGAGTATTAATTTTTGAATAAAAACATATTTCGGTCTGGACAAGAGCTAGCGGTTTTCAGTTATGCATGAAATTTATATACAATACATATACGTACATTCAGAAATGACAAATTACACTAGTAAACACTGTTTTAGTCACATGAACTTTGCAATGATTTTTATTTATGTTGTTGTACCCTCATAAACAATATATAATAATTTTGTTTCAATCACGTGCAGTTTTTTTGTTACAGCTACATATTCATTTCTGACGTGTCTTTTTTAAATAATTTCTATGCGTCTGTCTAACTATTGCGTTCGACTTATGTACGTTTGTTACATCGCAAATATGCCACGAAAGTGTTCTAACGACCTCGACAGTTTTTGTTATGTGTGTGCAGAATTATCTTTTAAATCTCAGCATCGTAATTTCACGTCTTTAACTGAACAGTGCTATTTAGACTATTGTGGATTTCCTGTGAGACATCAATATAAGTCCTGTGTTTCACATAAATGTTTTGTAAACTGTGTGAGACTGCTATTAAGTTGGACTAAACAAAAACCCAGACATGTCATTTGTTGATTGACCAATGATTTGCTCCGAACTAAAGGATTATGCAAGTGATTGTTTATTTTGAGAAAAGGCAGTACAACTAAGTCCAAATACACTGCGCAGAATCGGCTGTCTTCGGCCAACAGACCCATACTACATAGTAAAAATAAGTCATACCCAATCGGCAAAGTGTTATGATTTGAAGATAATGCTAACCCATAAATTTATTGAGTGATAAATGTGCAATAGTGCAATGGGAAAATTATTCTTTTATGCTTCGGCAAGCAGTGGTCGTAATTTTTATATTCTTGCAACATGCGATTGTTTGTATCACCTAAAACTAATCAAAATAGATATAGGTTTATATAAATATAAATGATCAGGATGATGAGACGAGTTGAAATACGGGTGACTGCTTTCCGTCCGTCCGTCCGTCTGTGCAATTTAATAAATTCGGTTTATTCGAACAATGAATGTTGAGTTTTTTCGCAACATTTTTTAATAGATATAAAGTTTAAACAACACCTGGGGATATTTCATCTGTTTTGATTAGCATTAACTAGTTGCAAGAGTATAAAATGTTCGGTTACACTCGAACTTAGATCTTCCTTAGTTATTTAGCAAAAGGTTTGGCCAACACCAGAATGTATTTCCCCGGCTTTGATCCTTTCAAGTTGTAAGAACAGACATAGAAATGTTCGGATACACTCAAACTTAGCCCTTCCTAAGTTGTTATTATTTTTTTCTCATATTTATATTACCCTTTAATTGGATCGCTGTTAATCAAAGCGAGGAAAGTTTTACGTATTTCAATCATAAGAGTGTGTAAGAAAGATACGGTCATACTTACTCAAAAGTTTCGAATAGTGATGTCAACGCGGCCTTCAGAAACTCAAAGAAATATGTATGCACGTATGTATTTCTTGTGTGTTTCTGCCGTCATTAACATATGATTTAACTGATGGCTACTGACGGCGAGCATAGGTAATTAGTAAACAAAACAAAACAAGATATGTACATATACATAAGTATATGTAAATGTCAATGAACTGCATGTAAAGTAATTTACAGTACTACCTATAAAGGGCAAATTAGAGTTACTGATTCCACCAAGTTTGATCTTTGGAAATAATGTTAAGAATATACTGGATTACAAGTTATATCCCTTGAGTCCAAGCATAACCCCTCCCATTGAATTCTCAAAAGAATAACCAAACTTAGAAGCCTTGAAGTATGAAAAGTAGTACGTAAATGTGCTTCTGTTATTTTTTTTCCCCTACAATTAGCGAAATAATGTCATGTTTTGCTGGACTTAAGTCCTAGAGTTCTTTTAATATTCTCCTTTAATTTATCATTGATTATGCACATTATCAGTAGATAATAAATTTATAGGAAAGACAACATAATCAGTGTGTATATATCGGCAATTGTTAACTTGAGTATTTCCATAAAACATCATGAATAATTTCAACTTTTTTTGGAAAGCTAAGAAATCCCATATAATATGCACGTCATGAATTGATTATGCAAATAATAAGAATTATCTGTAATTGAATTAAAATTTTGTTTCTCTGAAAACTGGGTTGTTACTGCTGCCACAACATGATCAACAAATTATTGTGACTATGTGGTATACAGTGTATACTCGCGTTTTATAATATTACTCACAAAACGCTGAAATGAGTGAATGAAAGTGAGAACAACTCCGATGACCAATTTTATTTCCAATAGCCATATGGCGTAAATTTCGGTTTTATATAAAGTAGACACATCTCCAGTTGCTCAGACCGTGTTCACACGAGAGTTTTTTTTTTCGCCCAAACATACGAGTATATTTTGTAGGCGCTTTGTGTTCTTGTTGGTAACAGTTCGCGGGAAAACTTTAGTATACCGTCCCAGGCTTTCGGGGATAAAATAGGTATGAGCGGATAGAGGACAGTTACAACCCTTTTGCTATTGTCAGAATTAATAGAATTAACAATAATTTAATTAATGAATTAAACTATTTTTGCACTATATAATGTAAAAGAAATATGTACACGAATTAGTTAAGTGTTAGTGGATATAAAAGTAAAAAATATAAGTGTATAATTCGTTTGAAATCGAAAGAATGCGTACTTTAAATAGTTGAAATTTTCAGCTTTAAACGTAAATATATATTATATTTTTGATCTGGAGGATCTCCTCTATCCGCACATATCCATTTTATCCCCGAAAGCCTGGGATGGTATACTAAAGCCGACCCCAGTTCGCTGCTACGCAATGAATATTTACATTATGTACGGAAAATTGAATTTTATTATATATTTTTGTATGTAATATGCAAATATACATAATACAATAGAAACGTTTTAGAAAAAGCTGGATAGAGATAAAATTAAGCCTTTAGATTAAAAATATATACAATAACTTGAGATAGTGATTAGAAAGAACATTGCCAGATTCAAGCTGTCGGACTCAAAATAAAATTTGCCCATAATAAGCTACAAAAGAGGCTGTGTGTGAACGCAGTCCCACTTAACTTTATACAAAGCAGCACTGGCGGCTTCTATTATGATGTGGTATATGTGATCAGCCGTTCACGATCGGGAGTGGAATTGATTACGCATTCTCGTGGTAACATAAGAAATGCATACATTTGTAAATACCATAACAGCTGAGAGAAGCTTCACTTACGAATTCAATTGAGTGTGCGGAGAGTTGCTTGCTTGTGCAATTTGTTTTACGCTAAATATAAATATAATGTTTTGTTTAATCATTTATACAGAATGAATTTACATACTTATATGCACATATGAATACTTATATATATACATATGTTAGAATATATTACTCTATACGTTGATTGAATTGCGTTTATACGTGAGAACGAGTGTTTTATTTTTGTTTATATGCAGCACGCGAGCGGAGTCTCTGAGTGCGAACGCCTGAGTGGGTTCGAGAGCCGTTGCTTGGTTCGAATAAAAGTGCAGTAAACACAGTTTTCAGTTTCGATTTATACGCACGTCGTGTTGTGCCCTTGCAGCTGTTTACACTCTGTGAACTTGTTTCTTTATTAATCAATTTCTGACACTCATTAGTATTGCATAGAAAAAACGAAATCAACGACAATAATCGAACTCTACTTTGTCGACGGAAAGTGTTTTTATAATCATAATTCCACCAGCAAATGTGAATTCGACTTACGTGGGGTGGAGAGCACAGTGATTACATTCATACAAATGTGTATCTGCTAATGTCTATGGTATAATTGCAACCACACCACTATTCGATGCGAATGTATGGGCAAATTTCAAATTCTTCAAAATTTGATGTTAATTTCTGTGCGTTATCGGCTCACTACGACGACCTAAATAGGCAGTTAGCTACCATACTTCCTCGAGTACATTAGCCTATGAACTGAGCAGAAAGCTCGCAAAAGCGAACCCCTGAATGTGTGCACTAAGTGCTTAATGAAAAAATAAACCACAAAGAATAAAAACATAATTATTTGAATGAATACAAATCGGCGGCGACGTCCAAAGTAGTGTTTGTTGTGAATCCTTCACTTTGCGTTCCTTTATGTCCCTCACTTCCGTTGCGTGCAACTGCGCATGTGTTAATTAATTGGTGTCACAGCAAATGCTGACTAACGTTGGCCATTTACACAAAAATCTGAAAATAAGAAATACGTTTTATTTACAAGTATTAAATAATGCCATGATACATCATAAATTATAGGAAAGTTAGATTATAATTAAGTGCACCGTGTTTAAATGTAATAAGAAATTCACTTCGTTATCCACATTCAAAGCAAATCTAAACAAAGTTTATGAGAGTAAATTCAGTGTATGTGTAAATTGAAGAAAATATATACAGATGTACATATACAATTTTCCTATTTTTCTTTGTTTAAACGGCCTTTATTTAAAATATTAAAGTAAGCAGTTTTGCAATTTTCTACGCGTGTGAGTGTCAAAAACGCAATCACCTCATTAGGAAACCATCAATATATTTTTAATCTATAATTGCGATTAGATTTGTTTATTGACAATTCGAATTCCTTTTAATAAATTGTGCATAATTACGTATGTACATAGATTCTGTATACATAAGTATAAGAAATTAAGCCAACAGTTGTTCACAACTCAACACTGCCTTCGAAACAAAAGAAGTGTATTAATGAAAAAAATGTTTCGAAATTTATCAATTCCTATGCCGACTATAATCGTTTTGTTCTTAATAACGGTTGAGCTACTTGCGTCGACGGAAGGCGTCCCGCGTCATCATCAGTACGCCAACAATGGCAAATCAGCTGTTTCTGAGGATACAGTGGTAAGTGCAAATATTTGTTATATATTAACCGCCAACGACAAATCAAGTCATTAAATTGCTACAACAACATTCAATGAGTAAGTTTATTGAACTCATGAACGAATGTTTGACCGCTTGTGACGTATGTATGAATTTTTGTATGCCTTTATTTCCCACCTTTCTTCTACGAATGACGCGCCTTTTCTACTTAAAATATATAATATAAATACATGTATGTGTATGCAGTTGTTTATGGCGCCATGCTGTCGCGTTTTTGACTTATCCTTTGACGACGTTGTCGCCCATACGCGCAACACTACTACATACACCACGCATACCTAGATGACTGCATACCCTACAAGAACAGTGATAATCATTTTACCGGTCATTTGACAGTCACAATTGAAAATGTTTTGTCGGCACGTAGAAGAAAGCTTACACATTTTTTTAAGGACAGTGTTCCAAAACTGATGTGAACAAACCTATGCTTGTGAGTTTGCATCTCTCTTTAACTCATCGGTATTTGGAATTGATTAACTATGTAAATAACTGTCCTGCCCATTCTCATGCCTTTTACTGAGTCATTGCTGAAAATTAGCTAAAATGTGTGTATGTTATTACTATAAATCTATTACAAATGAAAAATAATTTTGCGCAGTAGATAATGTAGTTTTGATTTAATAAATTTTAAACTTGTTAATAAAGTAAGTTATAACAATATATTTAAAAATAAGAAATGAAATGCATCAAAAAAAAGAATGATATAATGAATTACGAAAAAATTGTTTCTTTCCTATTGCGTCCATCTTTCTCCAATTTATGGATATCTCATAATTGAAAAATGTTTAAATAAAAGTGGGAATAACCTAAGTAGATATAGTTTTATTTGATACTTATTTAACTTACGGATATATACGAGGAGTCGTTGAAGCTACTCCTGGATGCTCATTTCCCACTAAATCACTCTGCTGAAGAAGTGCCACTAGGGGAGCTGCAGGAGGGCTGTACAGCCTTCCTGGACCAGCGCAGGAGGTCGGGAGAACTTCTCGCCCTGAGGAAAGTGCATCTCGCCGCTATGGTAGGAGTTCTCACTGGATAGTGTCCAATGGGCACTTATGCGGTACGGCTTAGAGTACTACCCGATGCTAGTTGCCAAAGCTGCATGGAGGAGGGCGAGGTGGAATCATCTCGGCACTTTCTCCTCCAATGTCCGGCTTTCGCTAGGCTGAGATTGAAATATCTCGGCAATCATCGCTTTTGGCGGACCTGAATACTTAGCCGATTTGGATATTGGCCGTCTTAACAAGTTTGTTGCAAGCCCAAAGCGTTTCGTCGACTTATAAGGGTCTTTTGATCCGGATTATAGGAGTTTTGTAGGTATCACAACGGACCGGCATCTTAAGCTGTCCAAGTGGGATCCTTCTTGGGATCGACCTCCTAACCTAACTTACGGATATTATACTTAAAAACTCCTACCTTTCAATTAAATTTATACTTTAAACATAAACATCAAAAAAAAATTTTCTACAGCAATACTTTTGGTAAATCGCAAGGGATAACAGCTATTCTCGAAACTCCTATGGAAATGTGTGCTCTCTCTTTTTGACGTTACGAGTGTATTGGTGAACCCATCAGCAGTTTGTTGTAGGGTTGTTTTGACTCCAATTTAATTTTTTACTTCTATGTAGAATATGCGATATTTACTTATTTTTAAAGTGTATGTTTTTGAAAATTTCGTACCTTAATGCATTTGGAATGAAAAGGGATTAAAAAAGATGTACATATGTATTTCTCTCTGAAAAACTCTAACTAAAAGCGCGAAAAATTTAAAAATCAAAAACACAGTTTTTTAAATTATTTATTATAAACTTGAGATTAACATCTTTCTTCTATCCAGTATTTATGTTTAAAAATTTATTATTTATTTTTCATCAGATTTTTACATTAAAATTTATTTTTAATTTTTCAATACGGTACAAATACCGTACAAATCTCAAAAGATTAAAAATTTTAAAATTATTTTTAATTAAGACGATTTTGCTTGACTATAAATTTATAAACTGTTTTTGTAAGTCCTAAATCAAGTCTAAGAAAATAATATCAACTATAAAGAAATCCCAGAGCTCAAAATCATATCTTAAAATTCTTACCATCAGAAAGAAATATATTCCTGTCTAATCACACCAAAGTATATAAAATTTTCTTATAGGAGTAACCATAAACATATGTACATATATATATGTATAACTAAAATCATTCTTTTCACCAGTAGCAGCAAGCAAGAAATCTTCGTATTTGAAACACAAACTTCGGTGCCCTCCCAGTGTATTTTGAGTTTTTGACCTGAATCTGATGAGTCACTGCCAACTAATACCAAACGAGTTCAGCCGAATGATGATTAATGTGTCCTTCTCCTTATAAAGGTTTAACCTTTGTTAACTTATGACTTTTCTTCAGAGGTTAATACAGTGTTGCGTGGGTACATCTTTCGTCAATAAGACAATGTCATGTGATAATTCATTAACCGCAATATACCGGCTTTTTTTAAAATATATACTTAAATTCATGATAATGACATTTAAAAGGTACAGTGTTACCTTTAACCACCATATGTATTCAAGTTATAACCAAAATTAAAAGTCAATAAGTAGCTAGCAGATAAGTGGTGTATAAATAATAGCTTCGATCTATTTTAAGGTTTTCATTTCATTAAATACCTAAAATCTGTCAGATGTGTTGTCATAACGGAACCTTTAATGTTTATAGTAAAGAATAAATACAGAAAACGATTTATATTTAAAAATTCGTCGGAAAATATATCTACTTACATATAAAAGCATCAAACTAAAGAACCCTATCTGAAAAACTTTGCGTGCATATTTTATTTCTTTTAAAATTTAACAATCTAAAATATAATAGTTCATAGTCAAGATATAAGTGGACTCTCCCCCTTATATTATGGTCAAGATATACGTTTTTATGCCAATATTTTGTAGTTTGTCTGTTATTTTAGAAAAAATTCTTTGCCATTTAATAAACTAAATTGGTCTCGAACTCTTTCCTAAAAAATATAAAAACAAATTCTTATAATTATTAATAGATTCATGCAATGCAATCTTTTATACTGACTTTAATTCATCCGAAAATTAAACTTTTTTTTAAGTTCCGACTCACACACTAAATGTTAGCTTTGGTAAATTCTTGTCTGACCTTCAAATTCTTTGCTGAAACGAATTGCTACTTGGGCAGACATCATATGAACAGCTCTTCTTATGGCATGTCCTCCCAATGTTCATTTATTAACCGACTTACATATATAAATTTGTCTTTACTTGGTTGAAAGAAATTACTGTATATTTCGAAGGTGTTGTTTGATCAAAAAGTTGTCTTTTCCAGAAGTTTTTTGTTGACAGATTACGGTAGTTTTGTCACATTACCAGTTTGTGGATATTTTCTATTATCAGAATGCTTAACATTTTGGACAATTTTTATGACGAGAAAATACCTGCTTTAGTTTTGGCCAATACTGTATATATGTACTCGTATGTATGTAGAGTTCATTTATAGCATTGAAAGATGGAGACGAATGTATATATTGCTTTAACACTAATACGAGCACATTCCATTAAGATTGCTCTTATAAAAGTGGTCATAATTTTTATCGCTGTTGTCATAATGATTTGTTTGCCTTGCCGTTGTGCTGCTCGAGTGCTTGGGACCATTTCCATTTTCAATTTCCATTTTTATCGCAAATTAAGAGCAACGGGAATGAAGTCACTGGCACTGTTCAAAAGCAAGACACAGCAACTATACGACTAGTAATCCCCATGCTGCTGTCGCATAACTAGTAGCGGTGGTGCGCACACCACTTGTCGGTCCGTTGCCACTTTTCCTTTTATTTTCGATCATCAAATGCACTTAAGATGTATAACAGCCGAACAAGTAGCACTGCCGGAGTGCAGATGTGTAAGCAACGGGAAGAAACAACAGGAGGAACTGCTGATAAAAATAGAAATGAAAAATAAGATTTGAATCGACCCGAGCCACAGTTGAAAGCATTGTTGATCAAAGTGCATGCTGCGTATACACATCTATGTATGTATCCATCTATTAGTGTTAGAATCTCGCACCTTTCGATTTTAACTCGGTAAACCCACGCACCACAAAGATAACTCTCAGATCTTGAAGCCCATCAACGTAAGAACCTTTATGCAATTTACTTTCTTAATGTATGAAGAATTATTTGCAAATCTACGTATAATGAAATAAGTCAAAAAGAACTTTGATTAATTTTTTTGCAGTTACATATGTTATGCTATATTATGTTAATGTGTATGTATATGTAAATATAATGTAACGTTTTTATCAAGAAAACTGAGTCTGTATCGGGTGGGTCGATGTCACGTGATTGTACGCCAGCGGTGGTATCTATAAGAACGCTCTGTATAAGTACAATTATTAAATTTATAAATATTACTTTCATATTAAACATATTAATTAATCAATAGGCAATATAAATTCTTAAAAAATATTTCGCAACAAAAAAATATAAAAATAATCTTCAAAAACTCATAAAATGTTTAGGACGGAACGATTTTTTTGAAACTTTATTTTGGTAAATTTTTCAGTTAGAAACGTTCGCTTTTGTTGGACGAAACTACTATACCTAAACAAATGCTGTGCCGTTATTTAGATGGCGTTCACATGGGGATTTTTTTTGCGCTCATTATCGGCAAATTCTCGTTTGGTGTCGCTCTGTGCGTTCAAACGAGCGAAAAGAATCCAGCAATGCAAATCTAGCTTTTCTGTCATTCCTTTCCATAAAATTTTCGCAAACGTTTGCGATTCGGCTACGCGACACATAGAGCTTGTGGCATATTTCATTTGTATGTTGGTATGGTGGACTCATATTTTGCTTACAAGGAATTACAATGAAAGTGGTAGAACAATATTTAGAGAAACCCCTATTAATAATTTCAAAGAAAAGTTTTGACGGGAATTCCATATTCCATCAGAATTTA